GCATCTTAGTCAATACTTTACTTGAATTACTCTTATTACAATTTAAACGAGTAGATTTTCTAATATTACTAGAATTTTACTGTATGTGTCTTGGTTTTTGATCAAAAAGAGACAAGCATTCACCGTTGTTAATGGTTCTACTGTAAATGAGTAGATTTTCTAATTATTTTTGCTTTTGTCATCTCTTTTGAACTACGACATGGAAATATGATGGGTTCAATATTGGCCATGCTCTCATGTCAAAAGCCCTTTAGTATACTCTGTATTTGTCTTACTCATGAATTGTGTCATTTAGTTTGTAAAAATTTATGTAGTTTCGGAGATGATGTTGGATCCCTTAGTGATTACCTATTTTTCCATTATATAGTTACCTATTTTCCATTATAGATGTATCAGCAAATTACCATTACAGATGTATCAACAAACAAAAAATCTTTATCAAAATATTAAAAAGAAAAAACAAACATATTCAATTAAAAAGCTTATTATGTAAATTTGAATAGTCAACTCATATTTGTGCATAGACGACAAATTAGGCGGACGCATCTCATCTTTCAAGAAGATGGAATTCATATTGGGAGCTCTACGACTACTCTCATAGGACATTGCTAGATTTTATGCGAAACTTCTATGACCCCGTACTGAGGATACAAAAACTGATCCAAACAATTAGGACTAAAGAGTAGAAAACCCCGAAAGTCCATCAAAAGAAAATAAAAAACTTATTATTTTATTTTTTCAAAATTTTATTTCAAATTCGAACATTAATATATTCAATGCATTTTTTGTAAATCATCAAATGAGTCCAAATATATTTTTTTAATGATTATGTATTTGGTTATGATTTAGTCATTCATGCAGGATTTATCAACCCTAAAAAAAATTGATGGCGAAAGGATACTTAAACAATATCAAATTTTACATGTTCTAAAGTTTAAGGTCTAGAGGGTATCATTATTTCTAATCTATCATACGCAATCCTAAAAAAATGCAAGACGATTGAAAAATACAAGAGGTTATGTTGATCGGTCTAATAACACAAGAACCAGGAGGCAACATTTCGTAGAAGAAGACAACACTGAGATACTCTCTCGAGACATTATATAATCCCGTATGAAGGACTTGAAAAATTGATCCAAACAATTAACACTAAGGAGGAGAATATCTCCACGGAAGAAAAGACAAATCATCATATAATTTTTTTGTTATTTCACAATCCTAAGATATTATTTTTTTTTGTAATTACTCTCTCAAAAGTATCTTCAGTTAGTCTAATACCTATGAAAGGAGTTCCAACCCTACTATTTTCTAGGGACTCTACCCCTTTTTTCTCATCCATTCTATAAATATCGAATATAGACATTGATCTTCAAACATGGTCTCAAACACAGTACACACGTACCTCTTTAATTAATTGACTCTCGATTAATAGCCTAAATTGGATGTTAGAGTATTTTGGGGGAAAATCCTATCTCATCCTCCTGAAGATATTCTTGACGATATTACTTATGCATGGTCTAATACATTTTAGAGGTTCATCGTGGCTATCTCACCAAAGACGATAACTTCGACGGAAACGTCTCTCATCCCCCACAAGGACATAATTCTTACTCGGATTTTTACGATCATTAATGTATGACACTTCAAGGATTATACAAGACATTATATAATCCCGTATGAAAGATTTGAAAATTTGATCCAAACAATTAACACTAAGAAGGAGAATATCTCCACAGAAAAAAAGACAAATCATCATATAATTTGTTTGTTATTTTACAATCCTAAGATATTATTTTTGTAATTATTATCCCGCGCAACGCGCGGGTACTTGCCTAGTATATGATTATATAAAGTGTATAAGATATATATGCGTATGAAAAATTATGAATAAAACAAATTTAGAACATTCATACGTTTTGGATAGAATAATTTTAGAACGGTAATTAGTAATTAATAAGTACTAGAAGAAGGTTTTTTTTTTTTTTTTCTGTTGGTAAACATGTTAAGAAGGTTATAACTTAGAAGAAAAATCTACCTCAAGAATACGAGATTCAGTTTCTAAAATTTGCAAAACTGACACAAGGACGTACAAAGTTAACACACAGAAACCAAAATGGGCAAGCTAATGACACAAGGACGTTACCCCCAGTTGTATAGCACATGAGGTATCATGTCGATACCAGTTCTTGCGTCTACCATAGACTGAAAGCATTCCTCCATAATTGATAGAGCAACAGCTAATTATTCAGCCTTCAACGCCAACCTTCTGGCAGAATGAACTTTTTCATCTTCTTGAAAACATTTCGAATCCAAACCGCCGAGAGAGGAATAGCTCCCAAAGCGAGTTTCGCAAAGAATCGATTACTAAAGAAGGAAAAACTGTAGACTAGCTGAGCTTAGCAGATAAAACAACATATGCAACTGTAACTGGTACAGTGACATCAACAATGACATCAACCATGTTCGAACATTTCAAACCAGGAGTTTCTTTAGATCACCAAAAGCTACTTTTTGTGTGATAAAAAGAAATGAATCATGATTTCTAAAAGTTTGACGAGTAATACGACATTCAGTTTCTAAAATTTGCAAAACTATTATACGTAGATTGTTTCGTTTCTTATAGTTTGGAGTAATATCTTTCCAGTTTGTACAAAATGTTAAAAGAAAGAAAAAAGACAAGAAAATGAATCATCAATCATCAATACGTGTCCACACCGAAAC